TATATATATATATATATATATATATATATATATATATATATATATATATATATATATATATATATATATATATATATATATATATATATATATATATATATATATATATATATATACATTGACGATTGTGTCAACTTGGCTTAGTCTTCCGAGAAACCCTTGAGACGATTTTGAAGTGGCTGAGGTGGCTCTAAGGTAGTCTTTGCATAGTCCAGACCTATCCGAGGTGGTCTTCAGGTCGGGTCGAGATGGAATTTAGTTTCTTGATGGGTTCCTGCATAAAGGTCAATGTCGGAAAGAGTTTATCGACCTACCGACCCCTTCGACACTCAAGCTAGTTCAATAGGTTACATAAGGTGTCAAAGGTTTTTCGAAAAAAGATTTGACCCTTGGGTTAACATCGAGGTCAGCTTTTATACTTAATCAGTTGAGAAAATCCTTTGTAATAACCTCAATGTCCTCTCTTGGCATTTTATCCATGGGAGTGACATGCTTGAACAACCTCCCGTGGATTGTTATCCATAAATATTGACAAGGTTAGTTCGAACAACCTCCCATGGACTATTGTTCACGAGAGCCGACACACCATAGCTACTCCCACATCATTATCTAGTGAATAGTAATTCGGTCCTTTTCTTTTATATTAGTGTCTCTATGGTGACTAGTTAGCGGACAGGGATTGGTTGTCAAAATATTTCCTATCATTTGTCCCCCCACAAAAGTGTGCTTAGGGCTCTTACGAGAGGGGTTAGAAGCACGTCGTTTAGTTTGTTCGATACGGGAGCATTCGAGATCTTATCTTGCGGGTTGGGTTTTCCCGATTCAGGTGTCTCAAGTACTTTTACCTTTTCGCCTTCACCATAATAGATTTATTTTAGCATGGGTCAAGTTTTCCCGACTAACATAGAGCTTTTAGCTTTGTGCCTATGCTGTAGCGAATTCATCTTGGCGTAGGTCGGGCTTTCCTGACTCATATGACTTGAGCATATTTGGCCCAGGAACTCCATCGTAGTTGATTCATATTGACGCATATCAAGTTTTCTTGACTCACATATCTCGAGTACATATGGCTCAAGGTTTATACAATAATGAATTTATATTAGTGTGGATTGAGTTTTTTCGACTCATGCCTCGAGCACATTTGGCTTCGGGTCTCCGCCATAGTGGATTCATCAGGCATGAATCAGATTTTTCCAACTCACATGCCTTGGGCACATTTAGCCTGGGGTCTCCATCATAACAGATTCATATTGGTACGGACCAAGTTTTTTTGATTCATATGCCTTGGGCACATTTGGCCCAAGGTATCTATCATAGCGAATTCATATTAGTGCAAGTTAGGTTTTCCTAACACATGCCTCGGGCACATTTGGCGCAGGGTCTTTGTCGTAGCGGATTCATCTATGCGTGGATTAAGTTTTCTCGATTCATATGACTCGGGCACATTTGACCCTCCTTCTAGTATTAAAATGTTGAGAGGATATATCGTCGATGATTAAGTTAGCACAGGTTGGTTTTGACTCAAAGGCGTAGAGACGTCCGAGGAACCCTTGAGGCAGCCTTGGTGCAGTTGAGGTGGCTCCAAGGTGGTCTTTGTGTAGTTTCAACCTCTCCGAGGTGGTCTTGAGATTAGGCCAAGGTGGAATCTAGCTTCTCAGTAGGTTCCTACACAAAGGTCAATGTCATGAAGAGTTTTCCAACCTATCCTCTCCGACGCTCAAGTTAGTTTGAGAGGTTGTATGGGGTGTCAAAGTTTTTTTTTTTAAATGGTTCGACCCTTTTGGTTGGCATCGGGGGTCAATGTTTATACTTCACTAGCTGAGAGGATTCTCTGTAATAACCTTAATGTCCCTCGTGGCATTTTATCCACAGGAGCAATAGGCACAAACGACCTCTCAATTGTCCACGGGGGCAAACAAACCATAACCATCTATACGTAATTGCCTAGTGGAGGGTAATTCAGCTCTTTTCTTCTACATCAATGCCTTTAGAGTGACTAGTTGATAGACAAAAATTATTTTTCAAAATATTATATATATATAAGATTAAAAATTAAAAATATCATCTGATATATTTTGAAGATATTAGTTATTTTAGCTAGTAAAAAAATTGATAGTTCATTATAAAATTTTAAACTTAAATCTTATCTTCTTCCTTTATCCTTTCATTAAAAAAAAAAGAACAAAATTGTTGGTGTGTTGATGTCCACATACGGCGGCTTATTGTCTCGATTTGATGCAAACTCTAGAGCTTCCAAAACTCGTCACATTCAACGTACGCACGCAGCCCCACACGGTCAGCAAATTGCTCGATGGTAGGGCGTGCCCCTAATAATTGTATTGTTGTATTTGAATTGCTGCAAGGGTTCTCATCCAAATCACTTGCTCATCAACTTGTGCTATAACAAATGACAAAGGCTGTGGTTGATCCAAATCCAATGTGTTGTATAGTTGATCGATTATAAAGCTCATAACTAAGCTTAGAACCAGAAGGAGATTTTGTCTTGCAAAGCCAAAATGATGATATGGTCATTGCGGCAACTTGTTCTTTGATCATTGCCCGAGACTTGCACAAAGTTTATATTGACCTCCTTTCATGGATGCTGCGCCTCAATTATTGAACCTTGTCATGCTTCTTCCTCACTCTTCTTTCTACCTTTCACAAGGCCTCTTAACTATGTTGTGGAGTTACTTATAGTCCATTAGAGAAGATAAGAACACTCTTTTTCTTGTCTGATATAGTTTCACACTGTGCAGTGAGAAGCTCCATAAGTCGGCTTCGGTATGAACTACAACTGGATTGATGTTACCTGTGGCAATCAGCTTCAGACATGTCTTCTTCAACGTAAGAAGAAGCTAAAACCCAGCTGCCATTCCTGGTTATGTAGCTCAGGAAACTCTAAAACTTTGCTGCAGGCCAATGAATCAAGTCCCCCGGAGTTGTAACCTCATGGCCACTAAGTTCCAGTGATATATATGATGATGGTATTTGCACGTCAAGCTAGAAGAAGGAATGGTGCACAAAAGTCTTGTGGAACAGCCACAGGAATGCTCCAAAACGATCCGGAATCTGCCAGCTAAAACCCCTTGGCCATTGCTTCTCCCCTCACATGGCGTTGTTTGTCCTGTCTTCCAGCCTACAACTGGCTCTCAGTGGCTCTCGTCTATCCTCCTCGCCCTATAAGTACCACTGCGTACCACGATGCATCAACCCATCACGAGCACTTAGTGTTCACTAGAGTGGAAGAGACCATGGCGTCCAAGACCACAAGCTCGATCGCTCTTTTCCTCTTGTTCAACGTCCTCTTCTGGGTCCTCACCAGCGCCTGCGGCTACTGCCCTACCCCGACGCCGAAGCCCAAACCCAAGCCGAAGCCGAAGCCGAAGCCAACCCCGAGCCCTGCCCCCTCCGGCAAATGCCCCGTGGACACCCTCAAATTTGCCGCCTGCAGCGACGTCCTCAAATTGATCAACGTCGAGATCGGCAAGCCGCCGAAGAAGCCCTGCTGCAGTCTGGTGGAAGGGCTTGCCGACGACGAGGCTGCCCTCTGCCTCTGCACCGCCCTCAAGGCCAACGTCCTCGGCGCCAACCTCAACATACCCATCAGCCTCAGCCTCCTGGTGAACTACTGTGGCAAGAAGGTCCCCGAGGGTTTCCAGTGCCCTTAAACTCCCGCTTGTTGGCCTTCCCGGTGTTCATGTGAACTCAAATCTACATCGGTGTAGCTTCTTCGTCTCTCTCTCTCTC